CCGCGGTGACGAGGCGGGGGGAGCCGGTGACGGTGGCGATGAAAACCAGCTCCACCGTCTTGTAGTTGGTGGGAGGCTGGATGGCCACCTCGGAGCGGTTGCCCAGGGTGAAGTTGTCATAGGTCAGGTTGGCCATCTTCGCCTGCCAGGGCTGAGCAGAGAGGTTGTGCATGGGGTCTGCAAGGGGAGCGGGGACAGAAAGGGAGAATGTCATACCTGCCGGCCCGTGCTGGCAGCGATTCCTGCCTCCTCAGTTCCCCAGGCCAGCACTGCTCTTGGCTAGCGCTCGAAAATCTCCTGGCGTGTTTCTCTCTGCCATTGCCCTTCCCCCAGGACCTCTTTGGAAGCATTTTTTGTGTCCCCATTTAGCAATGGAGGAGACACACGGGGCTGCAGGGACAAGGCTGGGGACAGCCCTTTGGTCAGGGTGCGATGGTCCCTTCTCTGCAAGGCCAGGAACCACCTCCCAGCAGGAGCACAGCCCCGGTGTGCAAGGACAGCGCAGCACGGAGCCGGTGCCCTGCCCCAGGGACGAGAGCAGGTTTATGGTATGTCCCAGGAATGTCCCACTGGCCTCTCCAAAGCACATCCCCAAGAGGGAGCTACGCCACAAAGCCCGTGCCATGGTCCGCTCAGCTCACCTGTGTCTCTGGCAGCAAACAGCTCCTTCTGGAAGATGAAATCTGGGACAGGGAAAACAACAAGTTACACTAGAGCTTCAGCCCCAAGGAGTTCGTGCGAGTCCCACAACGTCTTACTGGGGGACACCAACCTTTCCAACAGAGGTGGCCTTGATAAAAGGGGTGACACTGCTTGGAGGCAGATGCTGAAAAACCCAAACAAGGTTGAAACCGGATAATTTGGCTTGGCCTGTTTCACAGCCCAGCTCTGACAGGCGCCGGAGAGGGAAGGGGCCACACGAGTGCCATCAGCCAGCGATGCCGGGAAATGCTGGCCCCTTCCCCCGGTCCCACATCACACTGCAGCTGCAGTCACACCGGCGGTAAAAAACCCCGGAGGTGAAGCCGGACGGGGTGAACCCAGCCATCTCAGCCTGCAAATGGAATTATTTATGAAAGGCGGCAAGAATTATGGACAGAAAGACTGCCTTCAGCCAAACCAAGATGCCTGTGGTTAATCCCTCAAGGTAAGAGGAGAACGGACCAAAATTGATGTGTTGGGATGAAGGGGAGTTTCCTGGAAGGGGAAGGAGAAGCAAAGGCGCTGGAGAAGGTGGGGTGCACAGAGGAGCTTCCCATCCAACCTTCCTATCCTGCACCACCCAGGCCCCCAAAACCTGCTGGGCCATCACCCTGGGTGCTGGGGGCATCCCGACC